GAGTTTGTAATTCGAGTTGAGATGTGATTTTATGTGAGAGCTTTTTACTGTAGCAAAAAAGTTAGATGTGACTGTTTCTGAGAACTTTTTACTGTAGCAAAACTCAAATTTTAAACTCAAATCGGTGAAGTAAACGAAGCCAAATGTCTTCTTTCTATTTTCTCTGACATATTAATTAACCATGTTCCCAGATCTGCTAATTTTGTTTAGCTAAGCATGGTCTTAGGCTAGAAGGAAACATGATGTGGTTGGAAGATGTTCCACCACCTATTGTATCTGATGTACTTAAAGACATTTTTCATTGAATGACAGATACAATATTCACTAAAAAAAAAAAAAAATTAAATGTATTCTTATTTTTCTTCACACTTATACTTTTGGCAGGTTCAAGTTATTTACTTGAATTGAAAAGTGAAAGTATATAAAAGAAAATTAAATTTGAATTTTTATGAAAGAAAATATTATGACAAAAAATTTAAATTGTGATTCGAATTGTAAAAAAAAAAAAATAGATCCTTATTTATTTTTAATAAAAATTCTAACTTAAAACCAAGTGTTATCAATACCTATTTTTCCGTATGTTTTTATTAAAAATTTCACCAGACGTGGTTTGATAAGATTAATTAAAATTTTAAGACATGAAATGAGAATTTTTAAAGTTAAAATCAAAAATAAAAGTGACCTTAAAGTTCAACGGCCGATGATGTTGCGGGAGTTGATTTTCTACCAGAAAACGATACTATATTTATTGTATCCAAAATTTGGTCTACCTCAATTGTGATAAATAATTTTTTAAACCGAAAAGTCAAAATTGGAAGCGGATAGCGAATAGCGATGGTTGGCTTTGTTTTATGCTTTGTCAAATCGCTTTCATCTAAGTAAATCCGTTATCAACTTACTAAGTTTTTATTTTTTTATTTTTTTTCTCTTCCGCTGAATAATAACTTTAGTTGGAAGGCTTTTGGGGATGACAAATAGATGCTAATGCCGCGTAATTCTCGTTTATTTTACCGATTTGAATTTTTAGTTCTAAATTTTTATAGTTAAAAGCTCTTAAAAAATGTCACATTTAACTTTTTCTGCTACAGTTAAAGACTCTTAAAAAATGTCATATCTCAACTCGAATTGAAAACTCAAATCTACGAAACTAACGAGACCGTAGTTAGTTAAACAAAATAAACTAAAAACTAACCAGATTATCAAAATAAATAGATAAATAAATAAATAAAACTAGCAAACAGCCAAACAACTCTGTGGATTGTTTTCATTTTTATCAATTCCAAAATCCAAACGTAAAATCAAAATGTCTATTTTTTTAAATACAATTTTAAATTAATTTTACCTTATTAAAAGCTTGTTTAGTTCGTTAAATTGAGTTTTTAATTTGAGTTGATATGTAATTTTACGTAAAAAATTTTATTGTAATAAAAAAAATAAAATTATTTTTAAAAATATTTTATTATAATAAAATTTAAATTTTAAACTCAAATGAATGAAATTAAGTGCAGGAGCAAAAAGTTCCAAACATTAATCATAACACAGAATAATCAGAAAAATAAGATAAGCTCCAAACACTAATTATAAAAAAAAAAAAAAAAAAAAAGGGGGAATATTCAGCGGCTTCTCACATGATGCCACGCCAGATGAGCCCTTTTTCAGAGGAGAACCGTTATCTGTAGACTGTAGTTGAGGGGAACCCCACTACTCCATAGAAACGACCGAATCCACTCCGGTCAATTATTCAACACCACAGATTCGTACGTGGCATAATCCCATTCGCTAGCCTACCAAAGTAAATGATCGACCAACCGCACCGAAGCAGTAAGATTCTCAACTCTTCTAATTAGAATGAATAATCTCTCTCTCTCTCTCTACGCCCAACGACTTCCAGACTCTCTCTCTCTCTCTCTCTCTCTAAAAACGAAAAAAAAAAAAAGTTGTTGCTTTTTAGCTTTTTGGTCTCCGCTTCAGCTCCTTTGATCACCAGGTATTCCCAATTGCGTAAATTTTCTTCCGATATAGGGTTTCTTTTTCCTCTGGATTTTCTGTCTTTGCTTGTTTTTTATGGTATTCGTGACCAAGCTATGAACTTGATATTGATTTTTTCTGGTTGTCTTCGTAAATGGAGAAAAAATTTTCATTTTTCTTCGCTTTGAAGTTGAATAAATTTATGGTCGAGTGTATATTTCTTTGATCGCGAGAACACGAGGCAAAAGAAGAAGAAAAAAGAAGTACGAATTTCAAGGCGGCAACCTTTTTTTTTTTTTTTTTTTCAGAAATCGGGTTGATTAAAGTGATCGGCTTAGTAGAAGTTTAATCTTTTTCCCGTTTAGAGACCAATGAATAGAGGAAGCATAAAATTTTGTTTCACTATTGATTTTCCTTCATTTTCTTGTCTACCAAGCAGTAGACTTGGAGGTGGGGAGATGATATATTTTATTCTGTGTTTCTTATTCTGTAATTTTTTTTGGGCTCTGGAGTTCATTATATTCTTAGAAAACTGAAATTGTATTCAAGGATATGTTTGACTGTGTTCGAAATAACACCAGCTATTCCGTTTGCTCATTGGATAGCAAATAGAGCCTAATGGTGTTTTATATATGACATATATATACCATATACATATTTGTTTGTTTGTTTTGATAGAAACTTTGAGAAACTAGTTATTACTAAACACCTCGGAGATGTCTTATTAATTGTCTATTCCTGACAGGTGGTATTTTTCTTTGAATTTGAGTCTGGTCTTCTGCTACTGGTCCAATGCCTTCTCCTATCTTGCCTCAGTGGCATGATAAAGCTAGTGGATTCTTTTCTTCCTCAGGTACCTTTTTATTTACATCACTTGCTCTTGTTTTTGTTATTTTATTTATACTTACTTTGGGCTTTATTGTAGGTGTAAAGATTAAAGAAGCTGGACAATCAGCCGGAACATTTGTAGGTGAGGTTGCGAAGGATGCAAGAGGTAATGTCGCAGATGTGGCAGGGCGATTTGGCTCGCTGGTCAAAAGTCGATGGGCGCTTCTCCAGCAGCCATCGACAAAACATGCCGTGCAAGAACGTCTTATAACCGCAGCTGCTACCACTGGCACATTGTTTAGGAGGAGCCTCTCAGAGACGAAGGATAAGGTAGCTGTTGGGAAGACAAAAGTTGAAGAGGCAATTTCCTAGCCCTATCTGCAAAATTAGATGAATCATTATGAATTGTGTGGCTGTGTGAAATTTAAACTGTTAATATGACCGTGTGACGAAATTATTGTTTGACATTAATTTTCACCACTGGAGCAAAGTTTTAAGCTATAGTTGTTACGTAGATTACTAAATATTACAAAACTTTAACGAGTTTACACAGTAATTGTACAAAAAGTATGTTTATGCTCTAGAAACACATTTAAGTGCTACATTCAATGCATAGTTCAACATATTAGGTTGATCTCTGTCGAAATCTTTGAATTTGCTTATCCGCTTACTGATATACTATAGTTGGTGAATGTCTAATAGGTGGCCAAGAAGACAGCACAAAGAAGTAAAACCATTCTGACTGATATTGAAAGATGGCAAAAGGTATGGACACCGTGAGGCTACTTCTATTTGTTTTTCCATTTTATTTTTCTTAATGGATATTGTTGTTTGTCCTGAAGGTTTAATCTTGTGCTCTTATTTGCAGGGTGTTGCTAGCACTGATGGTAAGTTTCGTAACCAAGTCTTACCTTCTACCAAGTAGGTTTCTTTCTAGTTTGAGTTTAGCAAAATTTATTACTGTGAATTGACTTGTGGTATTAAACAGTTGGAATTTATTATTTTTTTTTTTAAAAATAAATAAATAAAAGTCGGAATTTTGTGGACACAGATTTCAAAAAATTGGCTGCGTCTTTGAGCTATTGAATTAGTAATAGGCGGATGAGTTTTGTTTTAACTCCCACAAAAATGTTGAGGTCATTATGGGGCAGTGTTCAAGGAGACTATAGGTTTTGACCAGCAATAAGGATTTAGTATTCACATAGATAATAGCTTTGTACCAATAATTATTTTCTTTTTATAATTTTCAGTATTTGGAGTTCCAATTGAAGTTACTGTACAAAGAGAACAATCCATGAGACCCATTCCCAACATGTTGGTCAAGTGTGCAGATTACCTCGTATTATCAGGTAATTGATTAAGAATTAGTTCTGCAGATTTGTGACTAAACACTATAAGTATGAATATGTGTGAATGCACTCAAAATACATACATATGTATGTACGGATGTATATATCTGTATGTGTACATATTACTGCATCATTTCTTTTATGTATGCACTCCAAATACACACATATTATCAGGTAATTGATTAAGAATTAGTTCTGCAGCTTTGTGACTAAACACTACAAGTATGAATATGTAAATATGTACGAATGCACTCAAATACATACATATGTACTTACGAATGTATATATCTGTATGTGTGCATATTACTGCATCATTTGTTTTATGTTTGCACTCAAAATACGTAATGAATATATCTGTATGTGTACATATTACTGCATCTCTTGTTTTAGATGATGCTTACACTTCCTCTGTTCATTCTTGGTTTATAGGACTCAATACACCATTCCTGTTTAAAACGGAGGCAGATAAAAAAGTTATTCAGCAATTAGTTTCACTATTCAACCAAGGTATCTTAATGTCTTTTATAAGTTTTATCTGCGGTTATTCTACTTTAGCGATATGATGGTAAAACACTGTATTATGATTTCATCAGATTCAAATGCATCATTACCAGAGAGTGCAAATTCAATAGAGGTGGCAGCTCTAGTCAAGTATTACCTAGCTAGCCTTCCCGAGCCCCTAACAACATTTGAGCTTTATAACGAAATAAAAGGTGCTCGTTCTAGCATAAATGCAATGAGAAATATATTGAAGAGGCTTCCGAATGTAAACTATATGACCCTGGAATTCATTACTGCATTACTCCTCCATGTTAGCCAGAAAGCACTTGTTAACAAGGTAGGAAGCTTATCTCCTTCGCATCTCTCCTTTTCATGGATTTTGTTGATAACTATGGATGTTCCTTTTCTATCTCGGTTGGCTGGACTGGTTTTTAGATCCTATATTTCCTGGTCATAGGCTCATCGCTGCAAGACAATAAAACTTCCTGTGGAATGCTTCCTCAGGAAGAAAAGTTTCCTGTAGAGGAATGAAACTGCTTGCGCATACCTTTCAGATGTCATTCTTTTATATTGTCACTCACCAAAGGAAATTGAGGAATCATCTGTTTGATCATGTTGATGTGGTTTATAAAATCTGGCTCATTTTGCTTCCAGTGTCGGAAAAAAGTTACTTTCTGGCTGTAGATATAATTATATCCACTAAGCTCACTAATCTTCAATGTAATGCAGATGGACACCGGAAGTCTTGCCATGGAAATGGCCCCAGTTATGATTTGGCAGAAAGGAAGTGAACCTGACATCTATAGGCAGTATTGGAGCCAACCACCAAAAGGACCTTCCAATAATAATTTTGAACCCCCTCCTACTTATAGTGCATGGGACATGCTTTCTGGTAAAGTAGTCATATCAATAAAATTTTCATGCATATTATGGCTTTGATATTTTGAACAGTTGTCCTTTTAATTTATTCTGCTTTGGGACAACAAATTAGTTGCATAGAAGATTGGCCACTCATTATTTACTTTTTAATTATTTTTTCTTGTACTACAGAGGAAGGGGAGGCTACTGATGCTTCTTCTCCCATTCCATTGGACGATGGCGTGCCGATGGACTTTGGAGCAATCGAGGTTGTTCAGTGCCTCATAGAACATCACAATGCCATTTTTACAGATGCTAATGAAACAATTTGGAAATGAGATTGGAGATTGATAAAGTTGCAGTGCTTTACCATATTTGGTCAAGATGATCATCTCAGCAGCAGGGCATTCGATTTCTTTGAGAAGCCAGTTAGTGTTACTGAACAGAGACTGGTTAGCATGTAGACGTTCGAGTCTCATATGTATTTGGAAAGAACAGTGTTGCCCTTTTTCTGTCGAGAGAAAAACGCTGCCTCCTATCATAAGATCTGTAAATCTTGAGCTAGAAATATATGTTTTCCGTTCGAGTCATTTTTAGGAATGATTTCTTTCTTTTCTTTTTCTTTTTTTAATTTTTTTTAATCATTGTTGTGTCCAGGTTTCTGATCTTGCCATAGTTTGCTTGCTTAGAAAATGTGCGCATGTGTGAGATATGATGCTTTCTGCATTTTTATTTATATAAAAATGACCTTAATTTTTCATTGAAAGTGAAAAACATGTCTTAGTGCTAGTAGTTAATTCAAAGAAGGCAACACGGGAACTAAGCAAAGTCATTAGCAGTTCGTAACATAAATAAATATATGGGTTAATATCATTGTAACTCTATCATGGTCTTTGATTTAATTGGGTATTTGATGGGCTTTGAGGGAATTGTCACAAGTTTTAAGTTTGAATTGTAAATAATACCACACATCACACTATATTTACGATACCTAATATACCTTTAAGTTATCTGTCGGTATACGGTCACAATATCAGTATCCGGCTGAGATACCCGCTGGTATCCGGCCCTAAAAGTAGTATCCAACCGGATTGACACGATAAATGACTCGACTAGATCTTTTCTTTGCCTAAAAAAAAAAAAGCAATTGATCGTTTTATGTGTAACTCTTTTGGTTTTTCCTGTTTAGCTGTAAACGATGTTGAGATTTCTCTTGCATGTAAATTTCACTTTGATCGGGTAAATGTCCTTATGTCAATCGGGCATTCAGTTGATTTTGATTCACGATGATGTCTAGACATTTATTGTCCAATTGATTACCTTCTCCTTGTGTATGAGAATTAAGTATTAGAAGTCAAAATGGGAGTTCCCCTAGTATATTTGTGTATAACTCAAATGGCCCAATACTTTAAGAAGAGCAATCAGGCTTCAATAGATTTCATAAGTGTCCTCAAGGTCCATTTTGGAAATCATGTTCCATTGAGACGTCTCAAGTTATAATGTTGATTATGAAGCCTTGAGCGTTAAATGCTCAAGACAATGTTATTTAATTAAATCAATTTATCATATTATTAGGCATATCATCAGATGTTTAAAACATATATATATATATATTGTTATTCGGTTATGCAATGGTAACCTTAGAGAATTTTTCCTTCATTAACGACTCATGTGTGATGCATATGCTAGTTCTTAAAAAACAAACGGAGGTATCAATTGGGGTGTGTGAAAAAAATTCAGTAGTTAATTAAAAAAAATAAAAAGGAGACAAAGTGCCAATAAAAATAATTTCAGGACATTCATGCAAAACGGGTCGAAAGACAACTGTAAGCCCATTGGATGATCTTTTGCCGTCACGTGCAGCTTATAAAGCTTTTTTTTTTTTTTTTTCAAAAATAGTAGAAAATAAGTCAATACAAAAAGTTTAAAAAAGTATGTAGGTCAATTTTTAGTTATAGAAATTAATAGGCCATAACTTGTCAAGTTATGGTTCATAACCAAATAAGTTATAGACAAACTTGTCAAGTTATGGTTCATAGCCAGACAAGTTATGAACAAAAACCGTGAATTATAAACAATAACTTGTCAAGTTATGGTTCATAACCAGACAAGTTATGGACAAAAACAGTAATTTGGCATATTTATTAACTTATATAAACTATTGACCTATTAATTTTAATTCATCTCAAATCTTGACTTATTTACCTCTTTCTCCATTTTTTTTTTCCCCTAACTTTTATTAAACTGATCGGGTAAATGCCAGCTTCACAAAAATAATATATTCTTATAGCAATAATAAACGAAGTATGTATAATCCATAATCTGTAATCATAAATAAAATAGAAAAAGTATGATGCTTCCAATTGGAATCAGGAAATTAATAGTTGACTTATAACTGACGCATAGGTAAATCATAAAATCTAAATTTATTATCGGATAAGCTTGGATAATTAATAGAATTACTTATAAAAGAGCGTGCCATCGGCATATGTTTCTATAGATGCATAGTTTTTTTTTCATACTGTTGAATGTTGGACATCAAACCAGAGATAAATAGTATTGGCCATCAAAAATTCAAAATTTCAACATATGGATCCCCGTATGTTTACAACTCGTCCTTTCTATTGATCTACGTTTCTTCCGTTGTTTGTCTGACTTGATCGAAGTCAATAACTTGATTGCTTTCTAGTTCAACATGTAATTGTTTTAGTGAAAAAATTGTTGTTTCTGTAAAATCTTGATTTGGTAATGTTTTGATCCGTTAATTAACAGTGAAAACATTATATTTAACTTATTAAATTGAGGAAAGCTTATATATATGTGTGTGTGTGTGTGTGTATATATGTGTATATATCTTGCATGAATATTGTAAGATAATAACGAAAAGTTATCTCATCATTTAGTACTGGTTATGATTATTATTATATAACATGGGCCTGTTTATTATAGTGTTCTTATTTCTCTATAACATAAATTCATTCTCATTATAATCTTATATGACGTTGCTGCCTTGCATAACAAAAAAAACCATAAACTTTAATACACATTACACACACCACACACATACACACACACGTGTGTGTATATATATATATATTGGTTATGATGATTATTATATAACATGGGCCTGTTTATTATAGTGTTCTTATTTCTCTATAACATAAATTCATTCTCATTATAATCTTATACGACGTTGCTGCCTTGCATAACAAAAAACCATAAACTTTAATACACATTACACACACCACACACATACACACACACACACGTGTATATATATATATATATATATATATATATATATATTGATTATCAGGTTCTTTCCGTGTCCCATAAAATTATGTGATTGCCGTGTTTCGTTTTTGTTTCTTGTTCATATTAATTTAGCATGCATATTTTGTAAGAATGTTTTTTATTCTCAAAAATACTAGCATCATGACGACTTGTTTATTAATTTTTTGGAACAGACCGATCCCTAATTTATTATTATTAGTATTATCTTCATTATTTTCATTATTGTTATTAGGGAGAAATAAGAAAATATGTCAAGACTTGAGATGAATTAAAATTAATAGGTCAATAGTTTACATAAGTTAATAAATATGCCAAATTATTGTTTTCATCCATAACTTGTCTGGTTATGAACCATAACTTGACAAGTTATTGTCCATAACTTATCTGGTTATGAACCATAACTTGACAAGTTTATCCATAATTTATCTGATTATGAACCATAACTTAATAAGTTATGGCCTATTAATTTTTATAACTAAAAAATGGCCTATATATTTTCTTAAACTTTTCATATTGGCATATTTCTTATTATTTCCCTTGTCATTATTACTATTTTGCACTTTTAGTCTACATCCCCAAAATTAGTGATGGGTATTTGAAAGTTAACGAAAGTAGTTATCTGAGCGTACATGATATCTTGTAGGTTCACAAAAGTCATACAATGTTTAAATAAATTTTCTAATTTTAAGATTTTTCAATCAAGATAAAGAGAACATATCTTGTTTAATAAAATTTTGAATTATCATGCATCGGTATGTGATTACTTTCTTCAGATTTCAAAAAAAAATTCATAATCAATTTTAGAAATTAGGACCAAAACAATCAATGGTATTAATAATAAGAGGGATTAAGTTATCAAGAAAGGGCTTTATAAGGACGAAATCGCAACAATGAATATATCATATCACTAGAACCGGCCAAATCCGACGTAATATATTCTCTTTTTATAATTAAATTTGTTAGTTTTTTTTCTTTTAATCTTGAATGCTAATATGTATACGTTGACGGTGGAATTTCTTCAACAAGATTACGCCGGGTTACCTCTCGATATTCCATTAAGTTACCGGCCTAAAATTGTTATGTATTTGGGTTAATGTTGCAAACTGTTTGTTGTAGTGTAGTATGAGAAGCATGAAAGTAGTGCTTGAATGAACGTAAAAACACACAAATTTTATAGTGGTCACTCTGTATGAAAGAGTTACATCCACTGTAAATTGTATTTATCTTTGGCTTTTTTTTTAGATTACATCTGATCCCTCCCTCTCTGGGGCTTTGCCCCTTTTATAGCCCGTGGATTACATATGGATTCCCTTTTGGACGGACTGTCACAGAGATTTTAATGATGACTTTTCCAAAGTGGCGTACTATCCCATTTGCTTAGACTGTAGCCTGTCAACGCCTTTTATACTATCCACTTACCCATTTCGTCCACTATTGTGGCTCTGGGGATCTTCTTCGATTTCATTGGTCCTTTACAGGCGGTTTATGGGCAAGCAATCATTTCCTGTGTTGCTGACCTTTTCCAAGTCCAGATGCAATCTGGGGATTTCCCCTTGCCCACTCAAGGGCCTTTCTAGGGACGTGGACCCATATTCATGCGGTCTGCTCTCTGTGCCTACACAATACAAAGCCAGACATAGGCTCTCCATCAGTTGACCCTACCATGGTACCTCTTATGCGAACAAGTCACATAGGCCTCGACTGTATATAGGGTCGACAGTCTTATGAGTCACCCCATACAATTGGCCCTTTCACCATATGGAGTTCCAAGCGTCGACAGCTATTTGACGTGACTAACACAGGGCCACGTGGGGCACAATCGTTGTCCGACGTGTCAGCGCACATTTTCCCACACAATAGTATATATTTTTATTTCTGTAGGTTGGGCATGGTTGTCGAAGCATTTGTTGGACTTGGTTTTAGAGAAATTGGAGTCATCATTAGATTATTTGCAATTTGGTGTCGTTTGTTTGCAATGGCATTCTGTATTGAAGGATAGTCAAATTAAACGGAGTAAAATATCGCAACATCATCATATTCCAATGCTTCTCATCCCTAGCGAAGAACAAACATGGAGCATATATAACACTATAGACAACAAATTTTCCGACTCAAAACTTTTTGTATCGTATAATAAACGTATTTCTGGCTCTTCACAGGGATGGTTGGTAATGGTAAACAAAGACTGGATGGTAACGCTTTACAAACCTTATGCTAAAGTTAACAAGGGAAATAATGTAGATGTTAGCATTCACCTTCCAAGCCTATTTCCTCCTAATCTAGACGATTATTTATTATCCGGGTT